GTGACCCCAGATTCGAAGCAAACAACCGGCGTCTTGGGCGTTTGCTCGACACGTGTTGGGGAAAATCTAAGAAGCAAGGAGAAGAAGGTCCAATAAGTTGATCTTGCAGTCTTTCCAAACCTTGGTATGGTATCAAAAACAAAGTTGTTGTTTGTAGCCCCCTACCAAAAATGAACAGAACTAAACACTTAAACAAAAAAAGAAAGCCAACAACAGTGAAGCAGTCGTATGGGAAAAACCATGGCATCTCACTACCCTCTTCACCAGATGCTTGGGGGCAGTGTGCGCTTTCCTGCAAGATGATGACCGACCTCCCGGGCAAAACAATGACCCAATCTTCAAGTGGCCCGAAGCCGCAGAATGTCATGGCACGCCCGGCGAGAATGTCATGGCCGAGTCAGCCCCTGCAAAATGAGAAAATGAGAGGCGATCCAAATCGGCAGGGAGAGGGCAAATGCCAACATGCCGGCAACCATTGACAGAGCAACTCAACTCACTGAAGATAAGACCCCCCGACTTCAAGGGGGACGGGGCTGGGGGTCCCCGAATTCCATTTGTATCCAGTCTTCCCACAAAGGGGAAAATGGAACCAAGGAAATTCCAGGGTGAAGGGGGTGGGGAGAAAAATAGTGGGATTGTGAGAGTGCTTTTTTGGCGGGAGTTACTCCATCAATGTGCCTCAAGACTTGTCCCATCAGTTGACACTCGCAAGGACCCATAGCAATTTGCTCTCCTGCAAACTAATTAAAAGAGTCATCCTTTGTAGAGGACACTCCTTCTGGGAATTGGGTGAATTCCACAAAGAAAGGATCAAACGAAGGGTGTGTCCTTGAAAAGGGAAGCTTTTTCATTGCTTGGTCCCACCGTGAAAAGCCGGCGGGGTACCGCGAAAGTCTGGGCCCCTTGCCACTGTGGCTGCGGCGACAGTGAGGGCGCTGACATCCTTGACACAGCATACTCTCCGGTTGGCCATCCAAGAGGGTCCTTGCTGAAACATGTCGTCACATTGTTGAAACAGAACCAAATGCCCTTTGCGTGCGGTTTGATGTGTTTGAGGACGAGAGATTATTGCACCCGTTTGGTCCCCCAGGACACTGGTGGCCATGTGGATGTATCTTGTCAGCTTTTTCTTGGGTGGTTTGGATTGGTGGTTTGGAGGTCAGGGAGTGGGTTTCTCACTTACCCCCTACAACAATGAGGTTGGAACATGGAAGAAAACAAAGGTTAACAGGTCGATTCGCTTTGGGGAAGTGAGCAACACCTCCAGGCGGGCACCTGTTCAGCACAGGTCAAGCTCTCTCATCTGCCACGGCACCTTGCACAACAGGACCTTCCGCCACCACCCTGCAACAGCATCCTGTTACAAGCACCCCGTTCCACGCATTAATATATATATATATGTATATTATAAAGCTCTGCGGCAACCCACGTCCACATGACAACCCCGAAATGTCAAGTCACACCCCCAGCCCGGCACCTCCAACAGCCCTGACAGAAGCAAGAACTCCCCCAGCGTTCAGCAATCGAACACTAATTCATTCGTAGAGCAAATAAGAACCACACAAGCCAACACAAACTGTTTCAAACTCATCCCCCCCCCCCCACCCAAAAAAAATAGCCATCCAAAGAAAAATCATTACTCCCTCCAGAACTTTCACTGATTACTGCGCAAACCGGAGATAAGGGGATTCCAATCATTGGACCTTCGTCTCGGGCCCAAGCTTTTCCACAGATCGGGCCCTGGGGGTGACAGGGGAACCAAAGCACATTTTGGGGGGGGTCCCTATTTGCCCGGAGCTGCCTCAATAAAACATGTGGGAACAAAAAGAAGTGGGAATGTGTTTTTTGAGGGCACACTTTTGGGTTGGTTACAAAGTGAAACGAATGGAAAAGCGAACACACATTTGGGGTGCCCTAGCTTCACACAAACACACAGACACACATACACACATACACACATACACACATACACACATACACACATACACACATACACATATACACATATACACATATACACATACACACATACACACACAAACACACACACACACACACACACACACACACACACACACACACACACACACACACACACACACACACACACACACACACACACACACACACACACACACACACACACACACACACACACACACACACACACACACACACACACACACACACACACACACACACACACACACACACACACACACACACACACACACACACACACACACACACACACACACACACACACACACACACACACACACACACACACACACCCTCGCGCGCGCGCGCAAACGAGGGCAAACAAAAACCATGCCCGATTCGGCATTGGCTTGGCCCTCGCGCCCGCGGCGGTCCTGACTGGGTTTGGCGAAAAGGACAAACCAGCCACCTCTGCAATCCAAACTTCCTTGGATCCCCAGTTGCGATCGCTTTTTTCCATGAGCTCTAGCCCCAAAAACCAGCAACAGTGACTGAAACAAGCAGCAACTTGGCTATCCAAACTTCTTCGAAGCTGGGGACACGACTTGGACCTGTCGACGCATCCTCGCCGTTTGTTATTCTTCTGCCCGGTCCGAAAAGGGAAAGGAGCACAAACCAACCCAAAGCCGCGGGGGGCGTTCGCAAGTTCTTTTCAGGCCCCCAATCGTTTTCAGAGTGGTTTCCCATCTGCCCGCTACAAAAAAACCCATGGGTTCAACTCCCCAAACCACTCCGAACCGCCCTTTTGGAAGGAAGCTGATTCTGGGTACCAACCATCCGTGCTCGGGTATCTCAGGACCTGGATGAACCAAACATCCCAGGATTTTCTGGGGCCGGGTCCTGAGATTGAGACCAACCCACATCTGAGTCAGAACCAACACCCGGTACTAAAATGGTCGATCCCCAGAACCATGCTTCAAGAATGAAGGCGGATCACCGCGACTACTTTTCAGGCTGGGGAGTATCCCTAACCTTCATCAATCCCCGGGTTTTGAGCAAGTGGCTCGTCTGATGTTTGCTTTGGGCCTGGACGTGTTTGGCAACAAAGGCTTGAGGTGATGAGCATTTGACACATTGAGTTGCGATCCTGGGCTGTCCTCGGATCCCAAAGCTTAACTTCTAGTGGGTGAAATGGAAACCCCCCCACTAAGCCAACTGAAAAACAACTAAAAACCCCAAGGGCACGGCTGGGAGCCGCAAAGAATCATGGGGCAAAGAAAATTCTGCAGGGCAAATCGCCCCAGCCAGCCACAACCCTAAAGAAACAAAGGGAACTTCAACAGCCTAATGTTGACCCCATACTAACCAACCCCAGTTTGTTCATGGGTTTAGTGGTTGGGATGGGACCACTTTTGGACGGCCGAAAACCATCCCTATTAGTAGACAGGTTGGGCGATGAAAATATGGGGTCAGCATTCTCCGTTGGGCCTTCAGTGCCCTTTGATTTGTTTGCGCGATCCTTTCCGGACGAGACGACCAGCAAGACGTTCAGGAAAGAGACGCCCCATGTCACAGCTAGGTCTTGCAAACCTTTCATAAGATCGGGAGATTCTTGAAGCGAGGGCAGCATGGTTCCAACTATGCTTCCAGTTGAAAACATCACAAATCATCATACAATCCAACTACAAGATGGTACCAGCCGCGAAAACTGTATCGCACACACGTGGTTTCTTCTTTTTTTAACGGTTTGGACGTGGCTTTTGTGGATCCACCCCTGTAGGATGCTAAAAGAATACCAAAATACTAAACAAAAATCGACCAATATTTGAGAGAAGGACAGGTGAAATCCACATAAAAAGAACGGCATCGAAACCGTTTCTAGACGGAAGAGAAGGCAACCTCCACCGAAAGCAGCTCTCCCCTCGCCACCTTTTCAAGCGAGCCGGGCAGCCGGGCAGCCGGGCAGCCGGGCAGCCGGCTGCCTCGCTTCTGGCACTCCGGGCAGCGGACTCGGCTTTTGCAAGCCCGGCAGTAAACGCCTTGCCAGATGATACCAAGACCCTTTCCCTAGAAAACTATGGAAGCTGACCAGGGCCCCGAAATGGACTTGGTTTCACTACTCAAAGCTTCCATGTTAGCCTAACACCAACCGAACATAGGAAATGCATCCCTGTGAAGGAAAAAACAGCCTTCACGGGTGACGCCGCAGATACAAGTAGTGCCAAAGCGAGTTTGCCCTGAGGTATGGGCAAATTCGCGCACCCGACATGCAGTTCAACCTGCTCAGAAAGCTGGGAATCCACTGGTTGTTCCCCCGCGCCGCCGAGTGATCTCACTGATCTCCGACCCAAGATCCAGGTTTTCTGGTCCAAAACCCAAGGGCCAAAAGATCCGATCGGCCGATCGGCCGATTTGCGAGAGGCTCCGGGATCGATCCCGGTTCCAAATGGCGTCTCCTCTCCGAAGTCCGACGTAGGCACTACTCAACTCAGCGAAACTCAGATGTGCTTCTCAGGCGCCCCGATCTGACTCCAAAGTTGCGATTCTTCTGCGCCCCTTTTCCGTCCAACCAAAGGGCTGGGGTTGGGCGAAAGCCCCAAAGTCCCGGTACGTCATAGAATCAAAACCCGGTATCAAAATGGTCTACCCAGAGCCATGTAAATAATTAAGCAGGCGGCCGCAGCTATTTAGTGTTGGGAGTATCCCCAACTAGCCTTCATCCATTCCCGTTTTTGAGCAAGTGGCTCCGGTGACGTTGACTAAAGTCCGGGCCCCCTTGAAGCATTGTCCCACGACCCTTGTGCTTCGTGGGACGTGACTTGTGTTGTTAATGAAGACCAAGCGGGCTGAAGTCAAAGGGAGGTCAAGAGAAAAAAAACCGCTCACTTGGCCAAACAAAGACATGCCCAGCGAAAAAGCACGGAAAATGCATTGCCGAGGGAATGAGTAGATGCTCCTGCTAATCCTTCCTCAGCTTCTCCAGAACTCTGGTAACGACTTCTCCTTCCTAAAGGTTCCAACGCAATCACCTTATCATTGGCCTTTTCCCATTCTGTTACTATTCTTCTATTCGCGCGCGTAATATCACCTACTACATGGTAAGCTTCGAAACGCCACCGTCTCAAGGCCGAGGACGGCCACGCGGGCCTAGGGCCTTTGACCCTTTCCCCGGGCGGGCGGAGCTCTCACTGCTCAGCTGCCCTTCTCGAACAGCTCCTCGATGGAGCCTGCACGCTGGCGCTCGCCTGGCAACTGGTAGCAGGTTGAACCGGAGACCGTGGCTCCCTTCAAAGGAATCCCAGTATGACGCGAGCCTGTCCTTTTTTGGGAGTTGCAACCCCTTTTCTGGTGGGGCTTAAAGGGAGACCAAAAGAAAAGCCCAGGGATCGACACACCCATGTACGTGGATCCGCTTTATTTGGCAAGTGGCTATTCCCTTTTACGTCCTCCCAGTGGTATTTATCCGAGAAAATGCATTTCATGCTGGTAGCTGGCTTTTCTCAGTGCTCATAGAGAGTTATCCATCCCAACTGGTGCGACAGACTTTGTCCATCCACAGTAGGTGTCCTTCTGACAAAATGGATGGCACATTCTTCTCCTTACAGCGTGAAATAGTTGGAACCAAACTGAAACCAACATCCATCCACGCAGCCAACTTGCCTAAGGAAACCTGGGCCTGACATTCCTAAACATCACAACCACAAGTGGCACACATAGATATTGGGCCAATTCCATTGGAGTTACTCGGCTTCATATCCCAGGTAAGCCAGTTGCTCGCCGGAATCCTAGGAGGAGCTTGTACGCGCTAAATTCTCCACCAGCAAGGGGTGCATACTGGAGATGGACACTCGGCTTGTGCAAGCCCAAAAGCTTTCCGCATGCGCGAAGGCTTGCCTGAAGATGACCCTCACTTCCCTCATCCAAGTCTCCCAAAATGCGGGCACAGAAATATGTTACCTTCCAAAGGGGGCACGGGCAAAGACAGGGGCTAGAGACTTTCCGTTGGCAGATTTCCACAGTTCCCGTTGTTACGGGCGTGTGCACCTTCTATGTTGGGACGAGGGTCCTCTCTGCCTAGTAAGCAGGATGTGATTGCCCAATCCGGAAGCATCGCTCGATGCCTATGCTTGAAATTGACCACCCGCACCTTAGTGCTGTGTTGTTTCCCTGTTCTTTTTGGGGTTTTACCCCCCCCCCAAAAAAAAAAAAAAAAAACGAAACCATAATCTAATCCTGAAATCCCTTGCAGGTTTTGCGCAGGCAGGACATTTGCGCCAGTAAAACATCCTTCTTCAATATGTCTTGCCCTTCGACCGCGCCAACATGGTTTTTACCCAATGAAACCACCAAGTTGGGCAGGCGTTTTGGGGAGCGAGCGTGCACGCAATCTGGCCCGTCCTTTCTTTCCTCTGCCCTTGCCCTTGCCCTTCGGCTTGGCATCCTCGAGGCGAAGGCGATGGACATGGACGTTCTCCGGCAGCTGTGACACCAAGACTTGTACTTGTAGAAGGTAATAACTTGTTGCAAACAATTCGACTATAACACACTTCTAAGCCCCCGTTCAGTGGAGTTAACCTGGTTATTTGTGGGCTACAACCCAGGCGATCCCCATTTACTAACTTGGCGAATGGAACCTCCGAGCCGGTCTTGGGATCATGCTCTCATTGACTCAGGTCAAGGGCCGGTCCGGCCATCAACAACAAAAAACGATGTCCCCATGTGCTTTGAGACATGTGTGCCATGGTCCAAACTCCTTGTATGGCGTAGAGCCATTCCCTTACTAGGAATCATGATGAGTTTTTCGAGGATCCTGACCAGCTGGACCAGCCCTGTCAACCCCAAGTAGAGGCACCGGTCGTTTGGGCCATGGCACCGAATACGGAGCTTCAGGAAAGGTGAGCCGTGCAGATATCATGAGCCCAAGACTTGAAATAAGTTCATCCCCGAGTAAAAAGGCTTGGGTGCTGTAGATCCCCTCGAGCAAACAGCTCAACATCTTGCAGGTTCAGGGTGCTTGCATTGTTTTTGTTTGTTGTTTTTCTTTTGTTGCGTGTTGTTGCCATTGCTTTGCTACAAGTTGCACTTTCTTGCAAATAGCAAAGAGTGAAAGTGAGCAAATGCAATGGATAGAGGAGAAGCAATGCACTATTCTACTTGTTCAAGTGTGTGGCCTTTTTAAATGGCAATTTATTTTCACATATGATTTCTATTTGACATGTGTGTAATTAGAATTTAGAAAGGAAACACAAGCTGGTAGTTTATTCTAACTAATTCAATTATAATTATTGGCTTCATGCAGAATTTAGATGGGATGTCATTTCCGAGTGTCTAGGATCTGAATTAAGTTTCAGCTATAATCTAGATAGTTCGGTAAAGCCGTAACCGGCAGAACCGGCCATCAGGGGTTAGCAAAGCCTTTCTGAGGTCGCCTGACTCTGGAGCCGAATCTCTACGAAAAAAATATGCCCCAAGCACCCTCCCAGTACACTAGCCCGCTCCCAGCACTAGCCTTGGAAGAGACCGGGCCCCATGACCTCAGTTGTTCAGTGACCTTGGAAAAAAAGGGAGCCTTTTGTTGAGCTTGGACCATTCTAGTGGGGCAGCCACCCAAAAAAAAGGAAAACAATTGGAGCCACTGAACAACTGAGTAACCGTCAGCTCGGAAAAAAGATCTTCAGATTCTGGTCCATACTTCGAGTCCCGTTTCGGAGACCTCCAAAATCTCCAGAGAACGCCTCACCCCCCCCCCCCCCGGCCCCCCCACCCCAAAAAAAAAGAAAGAAGAACACCATCACCTGCTTTACCCCAAGAAAATCCATGGAAAAAATACGCCGCCCGAAAAGTTCGAAAAGCCGGGCGAACGGCCCCAAACTCCCGCCCCCTTGCTCCCGACCCCACGCCTCCGGGCTCGGCGCCTCGTCGCCTTCCGCGCCTTCCGCGCCTTCCGCGCCTTCCGCCTTCGCGTCCCTGGCCAACTGCCTCGTGAGGCACATCCCAGGCCGGGGCCTTGACGTTGACGTTGGGGAGTTGTTTTAATATATATGGCCATGGGCTTTTCAAAAGCCGAAGCAGGTACCCCAGTGAACGGGAACCAATCCAACCACTAAAATAAAGCCTAACATGGGTGGTGAATTCACCTACCCCAAAATGGTATCATTGGTGTTGACCCACAGCCATATATATATATATATATGGTCTGCAAAGGTAGATCTTGGGGGGGGAGCATATATATATATATATTATATATATATATATGTATGTTTAAAAACAAGCAGTTAAGTGGATTTGGATTTCAACCACTCAACCACAATCAGCAAGAATGTAACATGTGGACCAACAACAACCATGCGGCAGGCGGCGCTCGCCAAGAGTCCGAGCTCATGGTGGGAGACTCGGATGATACCGTGTATGGTTGGTTGCGAAATTTGCTTCTCTCGCCACCACGAACTGAATGAAGCCGTGGTTGAATGAAACCAGACCGCTTGTTGGTGTTTACGTTGGGGAATCGAGTCATTCCAGGGTTTCTGAGGTGGTGCGAAATGGACTTTGTCCATCCACAGTATGGGCGGTGTTTTTTGAAGTTCTTCCCTTTTCACAGTGGGTGTTCAAGGGAAACCACACCTCCATTTGCTGTTTCGCCCCCTGGAAAAAATGAAAAAGATGTCCAGTAGTGATAGGTCCCTTTAAAACCAACAAGGGAAAATAGAACATATTCTTCAACAAATGGGAGCTGTCCTAAGCTTGGTATGCATTGGATAGTGTCCAACCAAAAAGCTTTGGACATGTTAAGTAAACAAGTGACTGGTCTGGAGCCGAATCGGCGGGTTTGATGGCTCGCTGCAGGGATTTCCCAGTTCAGCTCCAGAAAAGCCAGAGACCCGTGCAATTCCGAATCCAAACCAATCCAAACCACCGACCAAGGGCTATATACCTGAAAGAATTGGCGGTACAACTGCGCTGTCCGTTTTCTGATCCCCTGCTAAAAGCTCTTAACTTCTGGGCTAAATATGGAAACCCAACCACTAAACCAACTAAAAACTCAAAAAAAACCTCGGGGTATGGCTGCTTAATTTAAGCCTTGCGAGGCCAGAAGTCGGCTTTGGACAGTTGAGCAAAAGGAAGCAAAAAGGTCCTTTGGACGACTTCTCTTGGTTAGAAGCCCCAAGACATGTGAGGTAATAACTCTCCAATTAGTCCGCGGGAAGAAACCCTGTCGGAATGTTGACACTTTGTCCAGGCAAATATGGACTTGCTATCCTGGCACGTCCTCAGATCCCCTGCAAAATATTTAACTCTTAGCGGGTTATATAAATGGACCCCCCCCCAGTAAATGCTGAGAACCCAAAAAACCTAAGGAACCGGACGGCTGGGAACCGCCAAGTGTCATCGGGTTGCATCCTATCATCCCATCGTCAACTTGGGGCGACTGGAAAGCCCGAGCCTTCCAGCCCTGAGAACACTAACCTCCATTGGTCGTCCCGGAAAATGTGTCCAGTGCTCGACTTCCAACTCAAAAGCCAAAAACAAAATCTGTATTTGCTCAATTTGTTTTATTGGAAGCTAAGCAAATTGGTGACCCGGTTTCCCTAACACCGAGACCCCTGCCCTGGAGACAAACCCCTCTTGCTCACTCCGCAATTTATTTCTGTTGCCAGCTTTCGGCACCGATCTGAACGAGGGCAAAGGTTCTTTTGAGAATACCCTGTTTACTTCTGATTCTTTTTAGGGAACCAACAAGGAACGCTACCATGTTGCCCAGAAGGAGGGCAGAGGCGTTCACTTGTCTGACTGTGTTTGGGGTCGCTGGTTGAGACATCTGCTCCTATCGCCTGCAAGTTTGGAAGTTGACCTTTGTCCTTCATTCACAAGCGCTGCTTTAGGCAATTTGCAATTTTTAACTTCAGTGGTTCACTGGTTGAGACGTTGGTTTTCCAGTTAGCCTTTGCTTCAGATTTTTTGGATTGCTTTCGCTGGCTGAGGATGGATTGTGTTGTGTGTGTTCTGTTTTGCTGGTTGTGTTCTGTTTTTGCTGTTTCTTCTTGATATCCTTGGCATGTTTTGTACAAGATGTTTCTGCGCTGCAACAGCGGACCCGCGTGAACCTTAGAAACCCATACTGTGGATGGTTTCGCGAGTCATCAACGAGTCTCGCATCACGGTTCATGAAACCACGGTTGAAAGAAACCATAAGGTCTGTTGCGGTATTTACGTTGGGGAAGCATCAACTAGGTCCTCCAGTAGAGAGGTTCGAATAGGGTGCCATTTTTTCCGTAGTCTATTTCAGTAGGGGAACCCTCCCCCCCCCCAAAAAAAAAAGGGTAAAAGTTGGCACCTAGCTGGAAGGCCTAGTAAATCATTCCCTCGGGCTTCTGATTTCGGTGCTGCGATGTCGTAGGGCTCCCTTTTGCCCCGATTCCACGCCTCCGAACAAGCTTCGACTCACTGGCCGAAGTGTTCGTTTGCCATTCACAGTCAAAAAAGGGCCCTTTAAAAGCTTAAATAAGAAAAAACACATCTTCAGCAAGTGGAAGAAACTAAATCAAGCTTACCAATGCTACCAAGCCTATGACAACCAAACCAGACCTACCAAACTACCTGCAGCCCTTCCCCCTCCCCCCAAACCGCTAAGCTCAAGACCTCTGCACCAGGCCGGCATAGATCTGGTTGTTCTTCAAGAGCTCCTTGAGCTCTCCCAAGCCATTTCGCTGTGTTTGTTTGTGGCCTCTTTTTTTTGTGGCTTTAAAGGAACCATGTTTGTCCAAAAAAAACACCCAAATAGTGTGTCTGTTTTGGGACCGCCCCCCCCCCCAAAAAAAAAAAAAAAACAATTATAATAAAAGGTTTCCCTTTTGGTTTCCCTGTAAAACAAAAAATGGGTGCCTTCAAAAGAATGACACTCCCATTTGAATCTAACCCGGAATTTGTGCTCAATAGTTGGCATCCGTCCTTCAGGGGTCACTGAATTTCCCGATGGTTTCAATTTACTGGTGTCCATTGAAATGGATTCCTTCCTTCCTTCCTTCCTTCCTTCCTTCCTTCCTTCCTTCCTTCCTTCCTTCCTTCCTTCCTTCCTTCCTTCCTTCCTTCCTTCCGTGGCTCAGCTAGAATGAGTTGGGCGGCTCGAGGAAGATTTGTGTGCGTTTCTTCCACCAAAAACTGATACGGCCTGATGGTTTCCCTGAAAAACGTCATCTGATGATTTGGAAGGGAAACCAAATGGACACCCTGCTTTG